CATTTCTTTTTATTAATTTTTTTAATCATTATTCATTTCTTGACAGATCAATGTGTCATTATTCATTTCTTTTTTGGCCAATGCATCTTTTAATCAATGCATCTTATGATAAACATGTTCTAATGATTCTGTAGGACACATGATAAACGTTGATGCAAGTGTTGCTAGAGCTGAGGGTTTTCAGTTGGCCAAACGTCTCTCTGTTTTTGATCTCATCGCCATTGGTAAACTTTCAATCAACTTACGTAGCATCACCTTTCATCGTCTATCTGTTATTGATTACTTCTCGGATTTACATTAAGTAAAATTGATACATATATATGTTTTGTTGATTAATACAAGCTGTTTCTCCGTGTGTTGTTATGCAATGAATTTGTTATATATGTATGTATGTATGTATGTATGTATGATGTTGGGATGAATTGGTATCAATTAACCTAAAAGTTAAAGCAATTTTATCAGGAGTTGGAGCAACAATTGGAGCTGGAGTTTACATTCTTGTTGGAACAGTTGCTAAAGAGCAAACAGCAGGGAGTTTCAGCATTATGTTATGCAAAACTCGCATGTTGTTGCCCATCTACAAGGAGTGCATATCACTATTCCTACTTATGTGTTGGAGAAGGGTAATCTCGTAATTTCTCATAACAATTCTCTTATTCATATAATCATATTTTCTTTCTGCAAATCAATATTCTATCCCCTTCAACTTCCACTGTTGCTTGGTTAATTGGCCTGTCCTTGATTCTTGAATACACACTTGGTGGAGCAGTAGTAGCCCGTGGCATATCCCCAAATATGGTGCACTCCTTTTTCTTTCAACCTAATTTATAATTTCAATTTTCTTTTTCTTTTTCGAAATATAATTTCAATTTTAAACAGGCTGTGTTTTTTGGAGGTCCAGATAAGCTTCCTGCTTTCTTAACTCGACCCACCATTCTTGGAATTGTAGTTGATCCTTGTGTTGCTGTTTTAGTCTTCATTATAACTGGACTACTTTGCACTGGAATCAACGAGGTATTTTAGTCCTTTCAATTAATGACTTATTCGTATAGCACATATTCTTAAATTTTATTATAGTAGTTGACTGATACATAGGTTTCAAGACTCAATGGGTGGGATATAAAGTTCCAGGCGGGTAATATGTTTATTTTTCCACATGTGTTAAATTAACATTTTACCCTTGGCAACATGAAACATGTTTCTGATTTTCAGGTATTTCCCGTATGGAGCTAATGGAGTACTTGCTGGATCTGCAACCGTTTTTTTTCTCATATGTTGGTTTTGATGCAGTAACCAGCACAGCAGAAGAGGTAACACTAGTGATTGTGATTGTTCTTTCTGAAGTGTATAATTGTAATTTTCATATTGTTTATATTACAGGTGAAGAATCCTCAGAGAGATTTACCTATTGGGATTGGGGTATCTGCTGTGTTTACATTACAGGTGAAGAATCCTCAGGTGAAGAATCACTGTTTACATGCTGTGTTTTGTATATGCTTGTATCTGCTGTTGTGATTGGTTTGGTGCCATGTTCCCAATTAGACCATGATACCCCTATCGCCTCTGCTTTTGCTAATTATGGAATGAATGGAGCAGTGTAAGCATACAACATTTCTTTCTGAAGGGTGTAATTGTAATTTCATCTTTATTTACATCTAAAACCATCATTATGATTTCAGATACGTTATAAGAATCGGATCTGTCATTGCTCTCTGTGCTGCTTTAATTGGTGGAATCCTTCCTCAAGTATGTATATGCATGTTTGTGTTTTACTTAATGCACAAAGCATGTCTTGATATAGGTTAATTGAAGGGGGAGGGTAAAATGGTCATTTATACATATTCTGACAGTCATTCGGTAACTTTGATAGTTTTTGTATTATAATGTTTGGTTGCATCATTATTTGATGTTTTTTAGTATAATAATTTGATGATTGTAGTATTTTTTCTTTTAGAATCATAATAAAAAAAATTATATTACAAGTTCGCGACGGATTAGTGACAAAAAAATAAAAATAAATAATGCATGAATTTTGTGAGGGATTAGCTATGGAAAAAAATTATGTCTAAAGTTTGCGACGGATCAGCGACGGAAAAAGAACAACATTAATTTATGAATTTTGCGAGGGATTAGCTATGAGAAAAAATCATGTCTAAAGTTTGCGACAGATCTGCGACGGAAAAAAAAATTTAGTATATGAACTTTGCAAGGGATTAGCTACCGAAAAAAAACTGATCAGGGAAATTTGCGACAGATGAGCGACGAAATGTCTTTAACAAATATTGTCGCTAATGTCCTGGGTAAATGTATTGAGTGACATTTAGCGACGGATATTCTGTCGCTAAATTTGTCTCAAGGAATAACTGATCTGTCGCTAAAACCCTCGCTGAGTCATTAGCCACGCTTAAACTACCTATGGAGTGAATCTGTCGCTGATCCATCGCAAACAACACTTAGCGACAGAATAGCGACGGATTCGTCCGTCTCTAAAACCCCTGTTTCTAGTAGTGTGTTATGTAAATGGGTAAAAAAATTGTTGGTGGTATGCCAATTTAGGATTACGATATGGAATTGTTCTCCAAGCTTAAAAAAAATTCTGGTCCACATAAGGGCCACTTGGCAGCCACGTCACACATTACTATTTGCTTATTTGGATACCGTCTACATTGGGTAATATGAATTAATAAACAAGTTAACAAAGATTTCATTCCCTTAGAATGAAAAATAAATAAATAAATAAATAAAAATGCTGATGTAAAACAAATACCAACAATTAATGTTTTATGTAGCCTACATAAATAGGCCAAAGGGCCTCTTCCAATTGTGTATCCCAAATTCAAATTAGAAAGTGTACAACCTAATTGAAATAAAAAAAATTAATATGTCAAAAAAATTTCATTATTGGTTTGGGGAAAGGTCTTATATTAAGGTTTTTTTTTATTTTTTTTATTTTATTATTTTTTTTAATGTCCCATCTTCAACTTTCTTATAATTTGATAAGTTAACATATTAGTAATTCAAGATATATTATAATATCTATACATGAGTTTTTTTTTGTTAAGCACCTAATAATACATTATATATTTACTTGGTTTAATTAAAAAATCATAATGATGTCTATCTAATAGGAAGGATGCCAATCTAAAAAGAAAAAATTTAATATAAATATCCTAAAATTATTTAATATAATTTAATGGGTGTCCATGTATACCTTTTAATTCAATGTGGAATGGTTGTGTTTCCAAACACTCTCTAACTCGCTTTAAGGTCACACTTTATGATCTGATGAGTCAAATACATAACATACTGTTTACCACTGCCAACGCCATCAACAACTTGATCAACAACATCGTGATCCTCATGATCTTAAGTGATCGTTTGTATATTATATAGATATACTCTATAAATATATAATAGATACCTGGGATATATATCCGGTAAGAAATTTTTTTTGGTAGGAAGGTAATAAGTTTTTTTTCTACATATTTTTTTTATGAACAAAATAAATGAATCACTAGATGATTCATTTGTAAGATGATTCACAAGAAAAAATTCCCAAAAA